AATTTTGGAAGGATTTTTCTAGAAATTGTGACATCATTCTTGTCAGACTTCTACAACAATAAAGGTGCTTAATTAGTCTTTCAAAAATATATTAACGCCTAATGATAAATTGGTTCATGACATCTAAAAAGTGAAGAAAGGGACTTTTATAACTGATCAAAAGAATGTTTCCACGAATTTTTTTAAATGACCTATTCTGTCTAAAATAAACTATTTGTCTAAAATAGCCTATTTAGTCTAAAATTACCTATTCTGTCTAAAATTCATTAATACAGGCTGAAAATTTAATTTAAATTTTTAATTTTCTGGTAAATTAAAAAAAAAAGGAGGTAGTGTTTTTTGAGGTTTTTTTTTGTTTTCATTTAAGGAGAAAAACATGTACTTTGCTAGTATGTAAAATCTTTTTAGCAATGATGACTATATCTTTTTTACGATTTTCTTTGGACCAAAGAAAAGCTTAAAAGGATAAAGTCATCATTGCTAAAAAAAGATTCTACACACTGGTAAAGTACATGCGTTTTTTGTTTTTTTTTTTTAAACAGGCTCAGTTATCGACACGTATTCTGTCATGTCTTGGTAGATTTCAGCCACAGTTCTTTCAGGTGTTCATTTGCCTGTTGCCAATTCTTATTCCAGATGAAATGTTGTTTCAAGGACCTGTATTTCTGTTCCAATATGACCATTTCTTACTCTCGCTCCCGGTTATATTCTCTTGGTTACTTGGAGGAGTCGAAACAGGAAAACTCGATGCAGTCATACTTGTCTGAAGAGGTGGTGGAAGTCGAATGTGCCAAAACGTTTTTTTATTTTTTCAAAACTCAGTCAGTGTACTCACATACCCCGAAGCACCTTATAGAATTTTTGCAAATGGGAGTTACGAATTGGATATGTCAACACCAATCAGGTGCAGAAATTTAAATATCTGGGAAACATTTTAACATAGCATAGATAACGCAATACTGAGGCCCGGGCACATATTGGACGAGTAAAAGAAGTATTTTAAAAGTTAAGCAAGATGCTGAGAAATGAAAAAGAAATCATAAGAAACAAAGAAAAGGGTGCTGGGTTGCTCCGTGGTTCTACAGAAGGATATTGGGAATTCTATGGACGGAGCGAGTAAGTAACAAGGATGTTTTAAAACTGCAATCAAATATATTTTTATTATTTTAAATAAAAAGAAAAAATTCTCTTTCATAGTGGGAAAAATGAAGAAATCAAACTTTTTGGTTGTATCTTATTACCTTAAAGAAGGGAATGTAAGGAGGAAAGCATTTTATTTCAGAGAAAATTTTAGAAATGATAACAATGGAAAATATTGAAGAATAATTATTCTTCAATATATTTGCAATATTTTTCATAATTCCGAAAATTTTCTCACTTTCGAAGCCATATGCGAAAAAAATCGAAAATTATTGTTATGATAATCAAACTTAGTAGCCGTAGATATTTTAGGTACACTAACTCAAAGTAGCCCTTGAGCTAGAGTTATAGATCCCTTTATGCCAATTAACTATTAGCTAAACGAATTCCATTATATTGTGGAATCGTGAATTCCACCCTTTTGCGTGTGTGCGCGCGCGCGGACTGCACCCCTTCCTGTTACGTTCAACTAGATATAGCAGTAAACGCTGACGTGAGAGAGGTTGCTGGCTAGCTACTCCTGATACCGTCTAAAATCAGAATTTGAATTTTTTCCCGCGCGTGTCCTGGCGTCACAGACGAACAGCGTTTTAAGTTAGTCGCCGCCCGATTTTCAAACTAGATGGTTGACTCATTTATTCCGTGCCCCTAACCCATACGCGGGCCGGAATATCTTAACTAACCAAAACTTCAACATGTCGTGTGATTACAACTTCTCTTCAAACAACTTGTTTGAACCTTCTTCCGTTTTTCTACTAGAAAACGTTGAGCATCGACACGGTCGATATCACATTTTTCCATGATTTTTCCTCGTCTTGATGCGAACAGCATGTTGAACTTTCCTCCGTTTTCAGCTAGAAAATGTAGAGACTACGACACTGTCGGCAATATATTTTTCCAAGACCAATTCCTCGTCTTGATGGGAACAACTCAGAATATTCCTTCACTGAAGATTGATGAACTTTTCATACACCTCTTTTGTATTCTAACCTTTACGAACCAGTTTTCAAAAAAGATAACATTACACACACATTATTAAACCTCGCAGTGAGTATTTTTTCTTGTTGTGTATGCTTACACCTTTTGTACAGGAACACACTATTCCAGAACTTTCATTCTGAAGAAACTTTTTCCGCCTTAGCCATCTTGGTTTTTTCGTTTTGGCGCGGAACTTTAAAATTCTATTAATTACTACTTAATACTAACTGCCTACAGGCTAAAAACAGATTTTACCTTCTCTGATCGTCTCCACTGTTGAGACAAGATTATTTGTTATCCAAATAAAAATTTCTTATCTGTTTTCCACCAGACTCATTTTGTCGTTTAATCCTGGCTATCAATATTTTTCACTATTTTTGTGCATGTGTTAAATGACCCCTTTTCCTTACTAAAGATCACTCACTTAATATTCTTACTTTGTTTGTGGATTCGGTAGTCATAAGTGGTGTCTGGCACAAGACCACCTTTTAATAAACTAGCACTGTATGCTACCGGGTCTGCAACAATATCTCCCTGAATCTTTTGGGTTTCATGCCCTGCGTATATCTTTGTCTTCTACAACTATATTTTAGTCGTGCCTTGAAATTTTACGATATATTAATTAAGAAATAAAAAAAAAAAACATTTATTTACGAGTAAATTTTAGAAATGCTATTTTATGCTAATAAAATTTAAAGTGTCGCCATTGCTTTGAGAATTTCTTTGTTAGCAAACGACAAGGGGAAAAAATCAAGTCGGTAAAAGAAATCACAAAGTTTTGCTACAGATAATAAAATGAAAAACAAAAACAAAAAAAAACAAGTTACATTTATCCTTTAAATTGGTGAAAACTTGGCCCATTTGTACAAAGAGATGCGAAAAATCACGTTTCTTAAGAAACCTGATCCTTGATTGATTAAGAATTAGAGATTTTAATCTCTCGAGGAAAAAGAGCTATAATTAAGGGAGGTAATTCAAAATTCTTGAATTATTTTCAATTTGATCATCTGTACAAAAATAATCTAACGGTTGTAAAAAGAAAACAAATTCTTTTAAAAATATTTCTGATAAGAAAATATAATTAAACATTAGATTTTTCGTTTCTTCAAATTCATCTTGATCTTAAAAAGAACCCCTTTTTTTTCATCCACAACAGGAAGAATTTCAGAATCTCGCTGAGAAAATTACTGTGGGTTCTCGTCCCGTCCACTACAGTGTCAATTAACACATCTTATTCAGTGTGAAATTGAAAAATATTTGTTTTCAATAATATTTTCTGAAAAAGTTGGGTGTCAATGATTGTTCAAAATATTCTTTTGTGTTTTTAAATACATTTAACTAACTAAAAAAAATGTTCATAAAAAAAAGCTGGAAATTACCGTCGTAGAATTTATTTTAATTTTTAATCATAGACCATGCAAGGCAATAAAACCACTAAGACACAAGGGTTTATAGTGAAAGAATAAGAAAAAAAAAAGAGAAGCATTATTAAGGAGCGAGAACAATAGCAAAGTAATCAGCAGTACTGTAGATAGCGTTTGACGCTGTATTTAAATTTTTAAATATCAAAGATATAGTTAAGCCTATGGTTAAAACGTTGTTCTAGGACTCTGAGGACCAGACCACTAAAATGTGGTTACACCACCAGGTGTAGGTACTGGCGAAAGGTGTTATAATTATGCATTTTAATTCTTTCAATTATAAATCAATCAAGCAAGATAGAAACAAGGTTGAATAGTAAGTAACAGCGTTAAGAATTAGTTTATCATCACTTCTATCCGGCATTATGTTGCATTTTAGAAATTAATTGAGAAAATTTGCAAAGATGGAATTTGGGTTTCTCATGGGCTTTTGCTTCAGAACTGAACGCAAAGTTGCACTATCAGTTTTATAACAAAGAATGTTAATCATTCATTTTTGCATCGTATTGTTACAGGTGATGAAAAATGGGATTTGCATGCCAACAAAAATGAAAAAGACAGTGGTCATCAAAAAATAAGAAATCAATGCCAACACCAAAACTAAGCCTTTGTTTTATAAGAAGAAAATTTAAATTTTATATGAAATTTTATATAAAATATAATGATAAAATATAATTAAAAAATGTAATTATAAAATATGATTATGAAATATAATTATGAAATGTAATTATAAAATATAGTTATAAAATGTAATTATAAAACATATTTATAAAATGTAATTATAAGATTAAACAAGTATGAATTCAGAACAAATATAAATTTATATAAAATATAATTATTTGATATAACATTTTGTATTTAATTTTATTTAATTTTAAATTTTATTGAAGACAATTTAAAAATCAATGTCAGCACTCTAACTGAGTCTCCACCCACAGAAGTCTTTGCTTTTATCTGATGGAATATGAAAAGTGTCGTCCATTGTGAACTTTTGGGACGTGGAAGGACCATCACTGCGGTTGTTTATTGCCTACAACTTGATCATATAAACGTGGCATTACGTCGAAACTGTTCTGTTTTAGTAAACCCAAAAGGTTTTTATTCTCTAACATGACAATACAAGGGAGACAACCCCAAGAAGAAATAAGATTTTATTCACCAGATTTTCCTTTGTGTTGATCACCAAAATATTTTACAAATGGCAGAACATTAAGAAACAAAGTCGAAAACAGTTTTTAAACCTTTTTCGGTAAAGAACACATATCATAAAAGATTGAATAAACAGAAATATGCGTAAGTGGGTGTCTACGGTAGAGACAAGCAAGCCACCCTAGCAAACAGGTGGACATGGAAAAAACTATTATTATTACTATTATTATTATTATTATTGTTTATATGCCTGGTATTTGAGGGTGATTTATTGTAAGGAATATGCTCTTTCATTTATTACATTACATAGCCACATCACGTTGAAATACCAGTTCCCGTACGTTCACCAAAGTTAAGCAACATCGAGCCTGGTCCGTACGTAGATGGGTGACCCCTTAGGAATACCAGGTGTTTTAAGCTTCTATGTTAGGAACATCTAATCGTTAGTAGGTGGGGATTATTAATCGGAGAGCTGAGTTCCAATTCCCGATAAGTCGTTGTATTCACTTAAGTGCAAATACCATTTGGAAAGGTATGAATCCACCTCTTCTCTCCCAGCTATGGGTTGATTAGTAAGAGTTATATCACTAAACGATTATCATCTTTTCTGGCTTTAAATAGCCTGCAAAAAGTTGATAAGCCGTAGAAAACGAATCAATCAATCAATGAATTCTTTAGTCAGTCTGTCTCAAGACTTTTGTATTCGTAAATCCAGTAGAGACCGAACTCGCTATGAGAAAATTGGTTTTCAACGCGTATTTATTTTTTAAATATCTTTACCGTAGGCAGCTTACATCACTACTTTTAGGAATTTTATTTCCCAACATTAATACCCTGAAGTTTGATCACTGAAATATTGATTTTGTAAAATGGGTTGGGCCGAGAACTTTTCAGCATCATCTTGTCTTCGTAAAATGGGGATTTTTTAACACAAAAAGAAATTGTATTGATTCCGTTATTAACTAGATAACTTCATGTTTTGATGAATAATCATGAAACTTTGTTTCTTTTCCACGAGAGCGACTTATACACACGAAAATGCGTTGAAATAAGGACTTTAAGTTTTAAGAATATTTTGTTGAAACTATTCCAAATAACTTCACTTTATATGTAATTTCTTTTTTACTAAGCTGCTGTGTATATTCTATCTTCAGCGTTTAGAAGCTGAACTCATCTTTGTCAGTTTATTACGTGATACACGCTTGGCTGATCATGTCTCTTTTGATTCATGACTAACTTGACAAAAGATATTCCCGCAGTAGGCTGCCGTTTCTTTCTGCGATAGACTGATTACCAAGCAAGGCTATAGGACCCAGTCTATCCTGTTACTCAAACCGTAGTTGAAGAGGCGGGAAGACATGCAGGCATATCTTTCTGTTTTGGAGTTATTTCGCAGTGGAGGCTTGTATTTGGACTAAATCGGTCCTAAATAGGTTCGACGTACAAAACGTTAGGAACTTGATATAATAGGTATTACGCAGAGTAATCTTGTTGTGGTCGCTGACTACTTTCGTATTCGACTAACTGTCGACTACTGTCGCCCGACATCGACTGACCCTCGATTCTCTTACTACTCCTACTTATATTAGGTGGGAGAGTCTATTAACTATAGAATAGGTGTGTTTCACCATAACACCCACCTCCTAAAACTTTACTCCGTAGGAGAAAAAAAGTTTTATTTATTTATTTTTTACAGGAAATATGAAGAAAAAACAAAAAAAAAATCATTTTTTTAGCAACATTGTAGCGTATCTCATATGTTTTGGATCCACTTTTAAATGATCAGTTGCCTTTCTTTTTCTCCTGGATCGGTGTACCTCAGGTAAAATCATTGCAGGCGTTGTTAGATCAAACGTATCGAAAATCACCTCCATCGGCGTTTCTTCCGCGGGACCGCTGTCGACCACGTCTGAAGTACGTCGTCTGATCTGGTTAATGTGTCTTCTGCACGTGAATTTTTCGCCTTTCACCAAGTACATCATATTGCCAATCCGCTTTTCTTTTTTTCCAATCTCCCAGAATTATTTATTCTGTTTATAGACCTTAAAGTATACTTTTTCACCAGGATTGTATTTTTTTACTTGAATACATTTTTCTCTACCTGGCTTTGTCTTTTTTGGTCGTAATTTGTCGAAGACAGATCTTACTCGACGTGCAAACATCACCTCGGCTGGCGATTGTGAGGCTGGTGTTCCGTTATTTGGGGTAATTCTGTATATCTGTAGAAACTTCTGTAGGGCTTCATCTCCAGGTATTTCCCTAGCTTTCTTTAGAGCTCTTTTTAGGGTGTCAACAAATTTTTCAGCTAACCCGTTTGATCTTGGGTGATATGGAGCTGTGGTAACATGTTCGACGCTGTATTCCTTGCAGAAATCTTTAAATTGTTTCGACGTAAACTGACTTCCGTTGTCCGTCACAATTATGTCTACTGCGCCAAACTTTGCGAACAATTCCATCAGGAAGTTTTTAGTACTTTGTGTCGTCGGATTTCTTATCCTTTGTATCTCAGGCCATTTCGAAAAACTATCCACTACTATGATGTAATGGTATCCATTCAGTGGACCTGCGAAATCCACATGTAACCTAGACCATGGTAGGTCTGTTTTTGGCCAGGGGTTAAATTTTATTAGGGGTGCCTTTGCAGCTAAAGCACAGCCTTTACATTTTGCCACCGCGTTCTCAATGTCCCTGTCCATATTCGGCCAATATACAAAACTTCGCATTAGGCTCTTCATCCTAGTGCTGCCCGGATGACAAGTATGAAAATCCTTTAGTATTTGCTTTTGCAGTGTGTATGGAATCACCACATGTTCACTGTATAACAATACTGTATCGCAAATGAAAAAACAGCCCATCAGTGTAGCCAAATTTATTCGAAGGTATGTACTCAATGCTGAAGTTATAATTTAGCAGTATTGTACTCCATCTCTGTAGTCGGTTGGCTGTATGCGTCGGCAAAGCCTTTTTAGATCCAAAAATCGATATTAGAGGCTTATGATAGGTTTGTAGCTTAAAATGTCGACCGTGGAGAAAACGGTGAAATTTCGCTACTGCAAATATTATTCCTAGCGCCTCTTTTTCTATCTGAGAGTAATTCTTCTCAGCCGGAAGTAGTGCTCTAGAAGCATGCGCAATTGGTTTTACTTGACCATCTGTCATTCTGTGTAAGATCCATGCTCCTACTCCATACGCACTTGTATCGCAAGCTACTATGATCTCTAAATCCGGGTTGTAATGAGTTAAAAATAATTCCGAGGTTAACACTTCCTTTATCTTTTCAAATGCTTTCTGGAATTCATTAGTAGTTCATTTAATGGTGCCCGCAGATCATAAATTTTAGGGATGTATATTTGGTAATAATTAGCTAATCCCAAAAAACTTTGTAATGTGGTAATATCATTCGGAGCCGGCATATCTTCTATAGCCGCTTCTCGCTCTGGGTCTGGCCTTCTACCATTCTTATCGATGATCTGCCCCAGATATTTTACTTTCTCCATAAAAAACTCGCATTTGCTTTCCTTGAGTTTAAATCCAAAATCCTGTATTCTTGAAACTACTGCATTTACATGTTCCACGTGTTCTGCTATACTTGTACTTCCCATGAGGATGTCGTCCAGATACGCTATCGCAAAATCTACACCACCCGACATCGAATCTATTACTTGTTGGAAAATGACGGGCGCGACTTTAATCCCAAAAGGTAGTCTGTTAAATTTATACAGACCCCGATGTGTGTTTATACACAAAAGTTTTGACGTTTCTTTTTCTACCGGTATTTGCAGATATGCGTCGCTGAGGTCTATCTTTGAAAATATTGTGCCTCCATTAAGCTTCGCAAATATTTCTTCCGCTGTTAGTAGAAGATAATTATAGTCTTTGAGTGCCGCGTTTAAACCCGTCGAGAAATCAGCACAAACACGAATTTCTTTATACTTGTTTTTCACGTATACCGTCGGTGTTGCCCATTCACTATACTCAACTTTTTTAAGTACACTGGTTTTCTCTAATCTGTCCAATTCTTTATCTATCTGTTCAATTGAGGCAAACGGCGCATTCCTTTTCTTTTTGAATAATTTTAGCTCGAATTTTGCCTCCCAACCCTGGAGAAAAACAGTAGGAAATGTTTCTTTATTAATTTTCGGGCTTCGGTGTTTAAACTTTCTACCTTGTAACAGAAGGAATTTATCGGTAGATCCCATAATTCTGTTATCCAATTCGTATCAAGTAAGTTTATGGTATTTTCTATGAAAAATAGTGTAGCTTTTCGCGTTTTTTTTTTAACATGAAGTTTGTAACAAATTCCCCAATAAATTGTATGTTTTCTCCCGTTACTGACCTCGCGATTTTCTTTGTCTTCATTAAAGTTGGTTTCCCCAACTTCTTCCACGTATGCAAATTTATGATAGATAGATCCGAACCAGTGTCAAATTGCATTTTTATATTTTTATTACTTATTTCGATGGTAACAAATTTTCTGGTTATTCCATCTTTTACCTCGTTGGACTTTAATTTTCTTATTTTATTGTCTTTATTTTTTGACCTGCAATGCGTGCTTTTATGACCCACTCTTTTACAGTTGAAACATTTTTTATTCCTAAAATCGCAGTATCTGTACCAGTGCAGTTCACCGCAAGCAAAACATGGCTTCGGGAGTTTTTGTTTATTTTTCTCTGGTATTTCAGTTTTTGCTTGATAATCCGCAATTTTAGAATTCTTTTTGGTAGAATGACTTTCTTCTTTGTAGCGTGTTTTCCTTACATGCGAAACGCCAGACTGTTCTATCTTTTTTGAATCTTTCTTTACGCTAACATATCTTGTGTAGTCTTCTTCCAATTTATGTACCATAATACTTGGATCGCTTTCCAATTTTGCCAGTACTAATTTTCTCAACTCTGCGTATCTTTCCGATATCAGCCCCTGAACAAACACCAAGCACTTAAAATTGTCTGCGCTTAACTCTGCCAGCTTGAATTCTTCACAATGCTTATTCATATTGGCTGTGTACGTTATATAGTCTTGTTCGTCATCTTTCATCAGATTCAAACATTTCCACCTCTTGTGGAACAGATGTCTTTTTACTAAATAATTCACTTAATATATTTACCGCCTCGGTAAATACCAACTCGCTAGTTTTTTTCTGTAAAATGTAGTTTACCAATTTGTTATGCTCAGCAGTTCTTAACTTGCTTAAAAGAAGCTTAACCTTCTTTCCTTCAGACCACGAGTGGCAGTCCTCGTTATACACGTCCGTATATTTTTTATAATACTCCTCAAACGTTATCTCTTCATCTGGACTGTACGTGAATATTTCAATTGAATTCCATATTGTATTCTCTGGGAAAGAATCATTTTGTAGATTTTCTCCTTCCTCTTCTCAGTTATTTCCAGAATTTTGTTTTGAAACTCCCTATGC